CTTGATTTCTTTCGTAAACAAAAACCCTCATTGTTTTCTACTTTTTTTTTACAGAAGTAATTCATGTTGATTGTAGCACATCTAGAAAATAAGCAGAAAGAAGAAAACAAGAATCCCCACAACTCCACCATGAAGAAATAACACTGTTAACATTGTGGCATGTCCTTTCTTTTGTCTATCAATTTAGATATTCTATTTACTTTTCTATATATCCTTTAAATCATAAAATAGAATCATAAAAACACCTTTGTGAGCTCAGATTTTTATTTACTATAACAAATATTTTTGGTGTTAAATACTTTTTCAATTTCATTTTTTAGCTGCATAGTATTGTACTATGGGAATGAACCATAATTCATTTAACCAATGCCCCCTTTTCCTAGATTGTTTCTAATCTTTTGTTTCTATAAACTACATTGCAATAGACAGCTTCGCAGAGAAAGCTTTGCACATGTTTGTAATATATTTCCTTACTGCTTTCAACATTAAACTTTTTCATGTGGTCAACAGTCATTCCATGTAAGGCCAGTAGAGGGCATTTTAGGCTTTTCTTCTCAGGGCAAAGCCATAAAGCCATTTCTACAGTATATAGCAACGAAAATAGTGGTTTTATCGTGAAAATGATTCAATTTGGGATCTTCAGTAATAATCAATAAACCCCAGAGGGAGACTCAAAGTCATTTATTTATATGTCTAACAAGACCACACACACACACACTCAATACCCAATGAACTGCTTTGTTAGGACTTAAACCCCAAAAGAATAAAAATGATCTCTTTTGCACAATTCAGAATAGCTAAGGGAATGTTATGCCTTATGCAAAGCCCTAAAGTCCCTGCAGAGGACTGTGTTGAACAGTGACAAACAAGCAGGAAAGGGAACTCAATGCAAGAACACCGACCTTGCTAGAGCAAAGCCCAGAATCCGTAGCTCCCTGGAAATGTAGATTTGGGGCAACATTGAATGAAGTCTTGCTTAAACCATTACATGTCTGTCACCTTCCAGCCAGGTTTTATAGGTTTTGTTAGCACTTGAAATAATAGCTGTATGTGCATTTTTCTTGATTTTCACCAAGACCACAAATTCCCAAGGGCCGTGATCTTCCTAGGCTTCTTGGCATCCCCACTTTTAATTACACCTAGCAGATTGCTAAGTACAAGGGAGGTGCTTAAATAGCTGTCACTTGATACTCATGACAGTTTTCTTTCTTTTTTTTAAATATATCTTTATTGATTTCAGAGAAAGGAAAGGAGAGAGAGAGAGAGAAACATCAGTGATGAGAGAGTCATTGATCGGCTGCCTCCTGCACGTCCCCGACCAGGAATCGAGCCCGCAACCCGGGCATGTGCCCTGACCGGGAACCGAACCCCAATCGCCTGGATCCTAGGTCAATGCTCAACCGCTGAGCCACGCCCGGCCGGGCAACAGTTTTCTATTCTAGTGTAAAGCACATGATTGTTGGGAAATGGTGATTATAAGTGAAGGCTCTGGAACCAGGTTGCTTGTACAGTGGTGCCTCGGTTTCAGTTAACGACCATTTCAGTTTAAGAGCCCCTTAAACCCGCAAGTAAATGCTTCGGTTTTCGAACCCACCTCGGAAGTGGAACCTGCCACGCGGCTTCCGCTGAGGGCAAGATCCTGAGGCCCAGCTGTGGGCTGTGGATCCCTCGGTTTTCCAACGTTTCAGAGCTTGAATGGTCCCCCAGAGCGGAGCACATTGGAAACCCGAGGCACCGCTGCATTTGTACTCTCACTCAGCCACTTACTAGCTGTACCAGGTGCTTTACCTCCCTGAGCCAATGTTTGTAAAACGTAGCTAGTAATAGAATCTACCTCAGGTGGTAATTATGAGAATTAAGTGAGTTTACACATGGAAAGAAGTTAACACAGGGCCTGGACCATGAGCAGCTCTTGATAAATGTTATCAGCATGATTACTTAAGTGGTTACTAAGATTTTTCCCCCTCATTTTAAAATTCTGTGATTCCTCCTTTCTCCAAGCTCCTCCCATAGCCACTGAAGACCCTGACTTCTCCCGGGCTCCTCAGGTTACCTGCTGGCTGTGGCCAGGGCTATGCTGCTTCCAGGAAGCTCTCCGATAGTCACAGGCCACACGTCCACCCTGGTCCCTCACCCAGGTTACCTTTTTAAATTTTACCCCAGCCATCTTTCATTTGCTCGACGGGAGTTCCATTTGATTCCATCAAATCACATTTCACAAATACGGTCATTTTCATAGAGGGGAGCTAAGATACCACGTGGAGCAGAAATGCTTTTCTTCACAGGCCTCAAAAGAAATAAAGCTTCTTGAGAGAGGGAATGTCAGTAAGGATGGAGATTCCATAGCGTGTGCTTTTTTAAAAAAATTTATCTTTATTGTTGAAAATATTACAGGTGTCCCCTTTTCCCCCCATTAATCCCTTCCACCCACCACCAACTCCTTGCCCCAGGCCTTCACCACACTATTGTCTGTGTCCATGGGTTATGTATAT